TGGCTGTGCATGACTGCTATGGTTCAGCATGTTCACCTCAAAATGAGATCACTCCAGTCATGGTTCCTAGCCTTGTTCAACCGATTGACAGAGTCACCACATATGCTGCTGCGAGTCACTCCAAGACTCGCCTCCCAGTGTTCATGGTGGCACTCCACTCAGAACCTGACAATGGGATGGCCCTTTCAACAACCCTGCCCACAAATTCCTGGTTACTACAGATGCCAGCCTTACCAGCTCGGGTGCCCATTGCAGATCTCTGCAAATCCATGCCTGGTGGTGGCAAAGAGAGAAGCTGCTCCATATCAACAAGCTAGAACTCCCAGCAGTAATAAAAGCCTGCAAAGCTTTCAAAAACCATTTCATTGGCAAAATGGTTCAAATAGCCAATGACAACACCACCTCCACGATGTATTATATTCTCAAACAAGGGGGAACTCACTCCCAAGTCTTTTATACCTCACTCTCGACCTGTGCAAATGGTGCCTCTCTCATCACATTTGTCTCATGGCAATACACATAGCCAGTCAAGACAACAATCTGGCAGATTTGCTCAGTCCCAAAGAATCTCAAGCCCATGAATGGGAGCTAGATCAGTCTGTTTTTCTCTCCCTCTGCAAATGATGGGGCACATCCACCGTCAACCTCTTTGCCTCCTGGGTAAACTAGAAATGTTACTGCTCCTGCATAGGAGTAGGCAAGAACTCCTGTGGAGACTCATTCATTGGCCATTGGCCCAAGGCACTTACCTGTTTCCACCATTCCCGCTCCTCCACAAAGTAGTAGTCCGTCTTCAGCAGGACAGGCCCAATGCTATCCTGATAGCCCCATGGTGGCTGCAACAGCCACCAGCTGTCATCCCACATTTATCACCTGCCCCATCTACCTCACCTGCTCACACAGAACAAAAGTCAAATTCTCCACCTAGATCTCCCTGCTCTTCATCTCGCAGTGTGGAGGAGTCGGCCTCATTGATGAATGTCATTCGTCATGCAAAGAAATGTGCTAATGAACGTGCGGCCTTAAGGTCTGACTACCTTTATCTCCAGTTTTACCCAGATAAGGTTAAAAAAAATTAGATACTTTTTTTCTACTCAAGGTTATCTCCCAGTTCCACCTATCTCAACCTTTGGGTCTTCCTTCCTTTTTTCCATCTCCTTCTACTCCTCAAGAAAGGATCATCTATATTTTGGATGTAAGAAGGGCTCTAGCTTTTTACATAGCCCGCACTCAATCCTTCAGACACTCAGCTCGATTTTTTGTCAGCTACCAACTTCCTGCCAAGGGTCTTCAAGTTACCTTGTAGATAATATCTACGTGAGTTGTGTCTACCATCCAGCTTGCTTATCAGCTTGGTTGAGTTCCAGTGCCATAGAGTATCCACCCTCATTCTACCTCATTGGCGACATCTACAGTGTTTCTTCGGGGCGTCCCCCTACTGGAAGTCTGCACCTCTGCCACATAGTTGCAGCCATCCACATTTATCAATCATTACAGATTTGATGTTCAGCAGAACTCTGATGCTGCTTTTGGGTGTGCTGTGTTATCATCTATCTTGGTGTGACACCCTCCTCTGGGTAAGGTAGCTTCTTAGTCACCCATAATGTGATTCAAAGAGGTCATGAAGAATGTCAGGTATTAGTTATACCTGTTGAATTGTTAATCCAGTTTGCATATGGTTGTAAGTGTTTGTAAGAGTGAAATTGTAAGAAAAGTCTGCAGAAATAATGATTTAAGCAATACAACTGTAATAGGAACTAGCTAGTAGGCTGAATTAGAACAGCTATGGAAACAAAATTCAGATGGAGCAACCTGCAAAAGTTAATCACTGATTGGCTGAAGGGTGAGATAAAGCCGACAGCTCCAGTGTACTCAATCTTGTGGGTGGAAAGGAGAAACGCTGCTGGAGGGATTTATGGCATTGGATTTACCACTAACTCTGATTTATTGGCTAAGTAAAAGGGACTAATTGCTACTCTGTATGACCCAGGACTGAACTAAATGGACTACGCTGTATGTATATGCTGCAATACTAATTCAATACAGTGGTGCCTCGCTTAATGGGTGACAGGTTTGGTAGAAACCTGGAGGAATTGTTGAATAAAATTTTCTACAATGAAATAAGTGTTTGTAAGAATCAATGCTGTAGAAATAAATAAGGCTAGGCAGACCTAGCCTGTGTTAATTGTAACAGCTGAGGAAGAAATCACAGGATTGGATAACCCTGGGATAAAGCTAGCAGACCTAGCACACACACTTTGTTGGTGTCGTTTTTGTGTTGCTGTTGTCGTGGTGCTGTGCTGGAAAAATCCTGGAAGAAGCCGTGGTTTTGTGCTGTATATTGGAAGAGGAACTCTGGCTACTGGACTGAACATATGGTATTTGACTGCTGAACTAATTTACAAGGACACTGACTCTGATTTATGCAGTGAAATCTGTGGAAACTGCTGTATATGACTTTGTGACTGGAAACAAGGACTAAGCTGTACATGTATGTATATATCCTGTAAATAATACAACTATTCTGCTCTCAACACTGCTTTATTGCTTGGCGTCTTCATCTCTCAGGGCAGTTCTTTTGGTTAGTGTCACCTGGTGCATCCTGGTAATACCACAACTCTGTCAACGGGCGCTCCGTTTAGGGATGAAATCGCTTAGCGATGATTTTTTTCGGAGCATCTTTGTGCTTCGTTTAGCAATGGTCCCTATGGGCGATTTTCGCTTAGCGATGGTTGGGACCATGCTTCGCATAGCAATTAAATTTTGGGTCCCCTGTTTCGCTTAACGATGGTTTAAACAGCCTCGTGTTTGCTGTTTTTTAAATGTTTTCCTGTTATTTATAAAGTTAAAGTTTACTGTTTAAAATGTTTGAAATCATAAAGTGCACTTAATAAACCCTTTGTGAACCAAATTTGACTATGTTCTGACTTTTAAAAACTTTCTTGTTGTAATTTTTCCCCCCATTGAAATGCATTGAATAGGTTTCAATGCATTTCAATTGGGGTACCGCGTTCTGCTTAGCAATGTTTCCTATGGCGATTTTCGCTTAAGGATGGCAATTCATTCCTATTGGAATGGATTATCCAGTTTTCAATGCATTTCAATGGGAAACCGTGTTTCGCTTAGCGATGAAATTGCTTAGTAGCGATTTTTTCAGAATGAATTACCATTGCTAAGTGAGGCACCACTGTATAAGTTTCTATTGCAAAAGCTGTCTGTCTGCTTAATATCTTCTTGGATTGCCTTAAACTCTGGTGAAGCTACGCCCTCTAGTGTCCATGACATTCCGCATTTTGCACACTGTCAAAGAAAAATGACACGTTACCTAATTGTAATTGTAATTCTTCGAGTGGACCTCTGTGATTCACACGTACTGACCTGGCCTCCCCACTGTCATGCCCTTTTCTTTATGTGGTGGTTGACCTAACTGGAGGGAGAGCCTTGCTGACATATACTAAGGGGGGGAAGGGTTCTGTACTAATGTAACTTTTTGCTACCACAGAATCTCTAGAATATTCTGACAAGTCTCTGCGCATGCTCAAATTACCTCCCATAGTGTGAATCACAGAGGTCCACTCGAAGAACTACAATTACAGGTAGGTAACCTGTCATTTTGACACTTTGATAATTGTCTGCACTTCCAGTGGGTTTCTAGCATCAAAGCAGAGGAAGTCAACAAATGGTCACCTATGCAGAGGGTTGTCTAGGAGCATTAAGGGGGTGTATGAGTACATCAGGCAAGCTGGCCACTATTAACCTAATGACCCTGCATTGTTATTAAATGAGTGGCTAAAACTTTATTAAAACTTTATTTGCCTCCTTGCTGTTCTCCTTGGTTCTGGTAACAGCAAAAGCAATTACTAATGCTGTTTTAAAAGTTATTTGTGCTCAGATTTGAGTGACACCATTTCATCATATTAATAAAAGGAATCTCTAGTTTGCAGAGTTTCAGACCCTATTCCTTTTTTCTGTATTGAAGATGCAGGTACTGTGTGGTTGGCTCCTTCTTCCCTCCCCACTATGGGATAATTAGCACCCCTTAGTGAAAAAGGATTATATTCTAAACTTAGCTATCTCAATAGTGAATCTCTTTTTAATGGCTTACCATCAAGGGGCAATATAGTTGATAATACCCAGTTGTGATGCCTCACCGCCAATCGGATACTAGCAGAACACAAAAAGAAACTGTTACCTTTACTTGGTGCAAAAACTGTGGGACGGAGAACAAAAAATAATAATCACTGCTGCTATCAGAAGACTAGATCTCCCAAGAAAGACTTCATGGCAGTCAGTGAACGAATCCTCCAATTTTAACTCAAAATGGTTTGAGATGTACACTACAAGCAGGTCCCTTAAGTAGATTGTGAGAGGAAAAGCAAGTTGTCCCTGTAATGTTCAAATAATGTGCTACACTCTACAGACGAATGTATTATGCATTGCAGTCCATCATTAGAAGATGGTAACGGTTTTCAAAAAACTAATTGAAGGGGAGGGAAAGGACACTTTTTCTACCCTTTCCGTAGGAGTAACCCAAGTGCAAAAATTAACTGGTTTTACTGTTTTACTGATTCCAATTGTTTACTTATATTTCTCATTTTAAAAAAGAAGTAAAATCCTTAGAAGTCAAGAAGATAGCAAAGACAGGCAATTTCTGGGGTATGGGAATTGCTTTGACCCCGCCCCCACCTCCAAAGTCAATAGAGATATTATGTTCCCACTGCAGAAAAACTGCCACCGATCTTTTTACTGCCATCAAAATTACAGCAGCATGTTAAGAGCTCAGTTTTACTCAGAAACAGGTATTTCTCAGATTCATTGGGGAATGGCATGCACAGAAGGGGTCTTGCTCATCTCTGCTCTAAAAAAAGTCCTTCAGGTACTTATATTGTCAGTCAAACAAGTATGCCTACAACATGAGTTTATTTAGGTTTAAGAGGCAATCCAGAGAGGGGGATTACTCTTTGCTGTATAATTGCTGCTTTCTTTCTTTGATCCTCTAGTGGAAAAGGAAATTACACTTTTGAAAAAGGAGCCTCATTGTTGGATCAAGTCCTTGTGGATCTCAAGGTTTGGGAAAAGGTAAGGGATTTCAGTGCAAATCACAATGAGTCCTATATTAATAATTTATTTTATTTTATTTATTTATTGGACTTATATACCGCCCCATAGCGCTACAAGCACTCTCCGGGCGGTTTACAATTTAATTATACAGGCTACACATTGCCCCCCCCCAGCAAGCTGGGTACTCATTTTACCGACCTCGGAAGGATGGAAGGCTGAGTCAACCTTGAGCCGGCTACCTGGGATTTGAACCCCAGGTCGTGAGCACAGTTTTAGATGCAGTACAGCGTTTTAACCACTGCACCACGAGGCTATAACATGCATATATGTGCCTCTCCTTAGGTAGATTGCATTCCTTTGAATTTCCTTGAGATCAAGAGGCCTGGTGAGTGGTTTCCCCCTGCTGAAACTGTACCCTTTATTTCATGTATGTAAATAACTAAATGTTGCTCTTCCTTGAAAAATGCGAAGTGTTGTTTGTAGGATTCCCAGTGGTCTCACATTCATTTCCTGGTCAATTTCATGTCTGCTTATATTTAACAGTGCCATGTCACAAGATGTTCTTGATGTTCATAAGAATCAGTAAAGATCAAACTGGATGGGACATAGGACACTTATGAAGTGTTTCCTGATTCTATGTCATTTTATTGTTTCTGGAGGAAGGGGGGACTTTGAGGTAAGCAGTTACTGAAGAGTGCCCTCTTCAATTTATTATTTAAATCATGTTTAAAATATTTTACCCCACCTTCCTCCTTAAAAAGGACCCAAAATGACTTACATCATTAACATCATTAACATCAAAGAGCCTCGTGGCGCAGTGGTTAAAATGCTGTACTGCAGCTAAAACTGTGCTCACGACCTGGGGTTCAAATCCCAGGTAGCCGGCTCAAGGTTGACTGGACCCAAAATGACTTACATCATTAACATACAATATTTAAAACTGAAAACAGTATATAAATATTAAAAAGAATCAAATGCATACCACACTAAAAATTGGTAAACAAAACCAAAACCAAAACAGATTCAAAGCAGTACAGTAGAACAATCTATTTAAAAAAACCCTACTGAGGCAGCCAGTCACTAACATTAAAAAAAACCCTACGGAGGCAGCCAGTCACTAAGGAAAGCTTTCCTGAAGATAAAGGTCTTCAACTGCTTGAAGAAGGACAGCAATGATGGGGCCAACCTGGCCTCTTGTGGGAGGGAGCTTCAAAGTTTGGGAGCAGCAACAGAAAAGGCTCTCTCCTGTGCCACAACCAAACACACCTGTGAGGGTGGTGGGAGGAGAGAAAGGCCTGATGATTTTAACATCTGAGCAGACTCATAAAGGGTCCATGACAAATTTGGATCCAAGCCATTTACAGCTTTATAAGTTAGAGCTGAGGCTAGAAAATGTTGCGAACCAGCCTCCCTCTAGGGAGCGCAGTTCGTTCGGCCAGAGAGTGTCCGGGTATTTATGTACCCCTTATCAGCTGGCTGAGTCCTAGTAACACCAGCTAGGGCGTATCATAAATCCTTTCTCACAAGTCTAACCTAAAAGATTCCCTCCTACACCTGCTTAGATCTAACAAAGTACAGTGGTACCTCACTAGACGACGACCTCGTAAAATGAATTTGCATGACAAAGTTTTGCAGTTGCTATAGCAATTCGCAAAACTGATTCCAGTGGGGGATTTTCATTTGATGATGATTTGGTCCGTGCTTCGCGGACCATTTTTTCGCACAACGATGATTTTTACAGCTGATTGTCGGCTTCGCAAAATGGCTTCCTTGTGTTTTCAGGACCCATGCTTCGCAGAACAGCCATTTTAACAGCTGATCAGCGCTCGCAAAATGTCTTCCCTATGGGCGATCTTCACAGGACGACAATGTATTTTCCCCATTGGAACGCATTAAACGTGTTTCAATGCATTCCAATAGGGAAACGGTTTTCGCATGACGATGATTTTGCTAAATAGCGATTTCAATGGGACGGATTATCATCATCATGCGGGGCACCACTGTACAGGCACTTGGTTTAGTAGTCCCTTAAGACTCACTTAAGCTCAGAAAAATAGGATTCTGTAAATAGCAATCATGGCCTCAGTCCTCCCCCTTAGGGATTCAGGATTGTCAGCCTTGCTGTTCAAGAGACCACAACTCCAATCTTTAAGATTGGAAAAGCCACTGGCAATGGTGCGGCTAAAAAATATTGTAAATAAATAAATAAATAAGATTAAATATTTTTATTGAAAAAAATAAAGTTTCATATAGAAATCAGTTTAGTGCATAAGCATTAGCATCTGAATGCATATTCAAAGATTATTACAGTTAAATAAGAAAGAATAATTCTAAGCTAAATATAAAAATAGCTAAAAATTTCTAAAAGCTTCCTTCAGGATAGGCAGAGGCAAAAAACCCCCCTCTTTGTTCTCTAGTTCCCTACATTCTCAATTCCTTACCCTAGCACATGGCACAAGGAAAAAGGAACTCAAAAAATCTTCTGGTTCGTAGGGAACACTGCACACAGTACAACTTTCATTTTTCTACATGCTAAACTCCTCCTTTCTCTTCCGTCTTCCAAGGTGTCAACCAATTATAATTCAGGGCGGTAAAATTAGCCCCCTCCTCTCTTTCTCTGGAAAATGCAGGTGTTGTTTTGTTCCTCCTATCTCCTTCCAATTAGGATGGAATGTAGTGTCTGGTCTCTTATCTCATCTTTGCTGTACTGATCAAGAAGATTTTCTCACCATCTCTTCAGAAAAACATTCCCAGAGTTTAAAAGTTATCTTCACACAGGACAGTTCAGCTTCTATTTTACAATTCTCAGGACTATATAAACCATTTAAATTACAGGCTTTAAATCACATAATCACGATCATGACAGAAAAAAGTGGGAACCTTTGTATAATTGGATGAGAGATGAGAATATGAAAGAGTTAAAATTATGAGAAAGAAAATATGAGATATAATTTTAGATTTTAAAGGCTTAGAAAAAAATGGTAAAGATAAGTGTGAAGTAAGCTTAGTAAGAAACGTATCTACAAATGTAACAATGATATACACTGTTCTCTATCACATTCTGTATTTTTATGTACCCCATTAACCTGATCCAAATCCCCTTCCCTGTGATCTTCCCTTACGCAATAGAAAATTAATAATTTTTTTTAAATATAGATTTGTAAGTTAGAGTCAGCACTTTGAAATGTGCCTGGAAAAAGATTGGCAGCCAGTGGAGCTGCTGTAACAGAGATGTTATGTGATCATTGTAACCAGACAGATTAAAAAACACTGGATGCTGTGTTTTGGATCCACAAAAGTTTCCAGACACTTTCCATAGGCAGCACTGCATAGAGCCCATTACAGTAATTCAATGGGATGTAACAGGCATGTGTCGCCATGGCCTGTTAACACCTCTCCAGGAACAGGGACAACTGGCACATTCAAAGAATCATACAATTGTGAAGTTAGAAGGGGTCATCAAATCCGACCTCCGGTTCGATGCAGGAATACAAATAATAGGATCTCTGCCAGGTGATTATCGAAGTTTTTCTTAAATGCCTCCAGTGTTGGAACATTCACCGCCTCTCGAGGCAGTTGGTTCTGTGATGAGATGTGTTTTTATGGATAAGTCTGTCTCAAATTTTTCCTGACATTCAATTGAAATCTGTCTTCCTGTAACTTGAGCCCATTGTTGCATGTCCTGCACTCCGGGATGATCGAGAACAGATCTTGCCCCTCCTCTGTATTTAAATATTCAAATATGCCTTTCAAATATTTGAAAAGTACAATCATATCACCCCTCTGTCTCCTTTTCTCAAGGCTAAACATGACCAATCCTTTCAGTCTTTCCTCAGGGTTTCTAGCCCCCTGATCATCCTTGTTGCCCTCCTCTGAAGTTCCAGTTTGTCAGCATCCTTCTTGAAGTGTGCTGTGCAGAACTGGACACAAGACTCGAGGTGAGGCCTAATCAGTGCTGAATAGAGGGGAACTAGCACCTCTCAGGATTTGAAAACTATCCTTCTGTAAATGCAGCCTAAAATAGCACTTGCCTTTTTTTCAGCCACATCACACTGTTCACTCATATTCAGCTTGTGATGTACAACAATTCCAAGATTCTTCTTGCTTGTAGTTTTGCTGAGCCAGGTACCCCCCATCTTGTAACTGTGCATTTGGTTTCTTTTTCTGAGGTGCAGTACTTTGAACTTACCCCTGTTGTATTTCATTCTGTTGTTTTCAGCCCAGTACTCCAGCCTATCAAGATCATTTTGAATTTTGTTTCTGTCTTCCAGGGTATTAGCTAGTCCACATAATTTTGTGTCATCTGCAGCTTTGACAAGCATTCCCTGCACTTCCTCATCCAAGTCATTAGTAAAAATGTTGAAGAGCACCAAACCCAGGACTGAGTCTTGGGGTACCCCACTTGTTACCTCCTCCCACTTGGAGAAGGAGCTGTAAATCATTGCCCTCTGAGTACTATTCTGTAGCCAATTGTGCATCCACCTGACACTTGATATATCCAGCCCACACATACAGTAGTTAGCTTGCTAATCAGAGTTTAAAGGAGCATTCTGTCAAAAGCTTTGCTCTAAAGTCAAGGTAAACTATGTCTACAGCATTTCCTCTATTAGGGAGGTTACCTTTTCAAAAAATGGGATCAGATGAGTCTGGCAAGATTTGTTCTTGACAAATCCATGTTGGCTTTTATTTATTGCTGCATTGTTTTCTAGGTGCATTTTACAATAAAAACAGATATGCTTTGATTGTATTCCTGCATTGAGCAGGGGGTGGACACGATGGCCTTGTAGGCCCCTTCCAAGTTCACTTTTCTATGATTTCTATGATAATTTTTTCAAGAATTTTCCCTGGGATTGACGTCAGGCTTACTGGCCTGTAGTTCCCAGGTTCCTCTTTTGTGCCCTTTTTGAAGATAGGGACAACATTAGCTCCTGAGAGTTCTTTCGGTACTCTCGGATTTGAACTCGTTCAAGGTGGTAAGGTATCTTCAGTACTCTCGGATTTGAACTTGTTCAAGGTGGTAAGGTATTCCTTGACTATTCGCTTATCAATCTCCAGCTGCAATCCTGTCCCCTCTACTCTCACTTCACCTTTGTCTGGAGGTTAATAGTTTGTCCTTTGGGAAAAGACTGAGATAAAACAGGAATTGAGCACCTCTGCCTTTTCTTTGTCATCTGTTATCATTCTTCCATTTCCATTGAGTAGCTGTGCCACTAGTTCTTTTGTTTGTATTTTGTGTCACACATACCTGAAGAATGCTTTTTTGTTGCTTTTAGTGTCTTTAGTTAATCTCAGCTCATTCTCAGGTTTTGCTCTCCTAATACCATCCCTGCATTTCCTTGCTACTTGTCTGTACTCTTCCTTGGTGACCTGGCCTTCTTTCCACCTCTTATACATGTTTTTTGTTTTGTTTTGTTGGCCTTTTTTGCTACTTCCCACCTCTTTTTCTTGTTGGAATTGTTTTTTTACGTCCTCCCTGACCTTTTTGCTGGCCTTTTTTGCTACTTCCCACCTTTTTTTCTTGTTGGAATTGTTTGTAGTTGTGCTTTTAGAATTTCTATTTTTATATAGAAACTCCCACCCTTCTTAGATTCAATTTTTATGTTTGGATCTCCTGCTATGGGACCTTAATCATCTTTATTGAATGTGTGGTCCATTCTGAGTTGATTAAAATTGGCTTTTAAAAAAATCCAGCATACGTGTGTGGCTATACTCTGCTTTGGTTTTCTTTAAAATCTAGAATTCTAGTAGAACATGGTCCCTCTCACCCAGAGTTCCCCTTACTGCCACTTCCTCCTCCACGTTGTCTCAATTGGTTAGAATCAAGTCAAGTATAGCTAGTCCTCTAGTTTCTTTCTCCACTTTTTGTAGGAGAAAAGTATCAGCCACAAAGCCAGGAATTTCTTGGAAGGACCATACTTTGCACAATTTGCCTCCTGTAGTGTTTCAGTTCAGGGCTCATCTGAGACCAATGTGTAATTACTGAAGGATCCTAGCTAAGGACTCCAGCTAAAGACTCCAGCATAATGTAAAGGCATGGACTCCCCATATAAGGCAGGCTCCCATGAGGAATCGATGCAGGAAACAACTGTTATTTTTACCTGCAATCTGCTTTGGTGTTTCCTGGAGCGATCTTGACTGTTGGACTTGGACCTGGAATTTTCTTTGTGATTCCTTGACTCCTCTAGCATTATTACTGCTGGTTTTGACTGATTCTCTGGCTTCTGACCTTGGACTGGCTTATTGGACTCTGCCTTTCATTTACTGAAGTAAATCACGACACCTCCCAGCAGATATCCGGATAATTGAAATCTCCCCTCACTACTACATTGTGTCTGACATCCTTGCAATTTTGATTTTTCAAAAGTTTCATCTGCTTCCTCTCCTTCATTGGCCGGGTGGTAATAAACTCCAACTATCATGTTCCTTTTGTTTTTTGCCCCAACCAGACTGATCCAGATGCTCTCAATGGGACATCTAATCTCCTCCTCCTGTATTTCTGTGCAGGAATGTGTATTTTTTTTACATATATTGCAACTCTACTTCCCTTTCTATTCACTCTGTTCTTTTTGAACAATTTGTACAGGTATTCTTAAATTTCTATATACTAGTTGTTGGAGTCATTCCACCAAGTTTCAGTTATTTCTATTAAGTCATAGTTGCCCTCCTGAACTAAAATTCATCTTTATTTGTTTCCCATACTCCTGCATTCATATATAGACTCTGGAGATTGTGTGATTTGTGACCTGTTTATCTTTGTACATTTTAATGAATATTGCTATTAATGTTAATGTTATTATTTACCCACATTATAACTGTGTGGTCCATTCCTCTTATTGTACTCAAGGTTTCATCTGTCTTTACCTCTGTGCTTGCATCTCTTCCAATGCAGTTTAAAGCCCTTCTGATGAAGTTCTTCATGCTATAGCCAAACACATTCTTCCCAGTCCTTGTGAGGTGCAAGCCATCTCAAAAAGTCCGTCTTCAAGGAAGCTTAGCCAGTGGTCCTGAAAACCAAATCCCTCACATCGACACCACCTTTATTCCATCTCCTGTGCCCCATGTGACAGCTGCTGCTGCTGCTCAAGAGTTCTGTCAATGTATGCTTCATCTTCCCTTATAACCGTTAGTGTCGCTACTTGGTGCTCCAGTTCTCTCACTTTTTTCTAACTGTGTCACTAGTTTGCACTTGTTACAGGTGTACGCCGCGTTACACTCAGAAACAAAGACAAACAGCACTTTGCAGTTTACTACCACTGAATTGTCTCAACCTCGATAATCCCGTAGCCTTTTTCTTTCAACTGATTGTTTATGAATGCCCATCCATTTTATTTTGCTATTTTGTCACAACTGGCACATTAGTTTTAACTGTGCAAAGGCATTCTTGGCCTTTGGTTATATCTTAACACCTGAGCAAGATCTTAAAGAGAGATGCGGTCCTTGAGATAACTTGAATCAAAGCATTTAAGGCTTTATAGGTTAGAATCAGCACTCTGAATTGTGCCTGGAAATGGATTGACAGTCAGTAGAGCTGCTGTAACAGGGTTTATGTGATCCCTTTGACCAGCCCCAGTTAGCAATCTGGCTGCCATGTTTTGGACCTGCTGAAGTTTCTGTAGTATTTAATCATTTCTCAAATAATTCTTTTAAACAAACATTTTCCCCACCCCTCACTTATTTTCCCAGTAGTGTACAAGCACACCAACTGCATATTCCCTTTTTCCCTTTGTGGAATACAGTGGTTTAGGGAGGACAGAGCAATACTTAGTGAGCAAATGGCCCACATGGAAAAAATTGAGCACATGTACCCCAAAGAGATACAATAACGTGGTGGATGTTCTTTGTTTTTTAAGTCTGTATACTCTTCAAGTACAGTGGTGCCTCGCTTAGCGATTGCTCCGTTGAGCGATGAAATTGCTTAGTGATGGGGTTTTGGCCATCGCCAGAATGATCGCTTAGCGATGGCCCCCATGGGGAAAAATCGCTTTGCGATGATCGTGGTGAAGCGATCATCGCAAAGCCCCCATTTTCGGCCAGCTGATCAGCGGTTCCAAAATGGCCGCCGGAAAAACAAAATGGCTGCCCGCTATTTTGCCTCGCTTTAGAGGCACCGAAAATGGCTGCCCCTATGGAGGATCTTCACATAAGGTCAGTTTTGAAGCCCATAGGAACGCATTAAACATGTTTTAATGCATTTCTATGGGCTTTTTTATTCCGTTTAGCGATGAAATCACTTAGCAACATTTTCCTGGAACGGATTAATGTCACTAAGCGAGGCACCACTGTACTCAGTATATTATAGTGGATAGAGTGACAGACCACGATTCAGGAGACTTGGGTCCAAATTCCTGCTTGGCTATTGAAACTTACTTGGAGGTTGGCACTCCTTAGATATTTTGCTTACCTTGAAAGACCTACCAGGGTTGCTGTATCTCAGCTCTGACATGAAGGCACATAACACACAACATACTCTGTGAGTGTCCTGTGCATTTTGTGTCATTTGGTCCTAAAGCTATGAGAGATGTAAAACACTATAGTGTTCAATCCTGGGAAAAGTTTTCAGGAGATGATGGTGTGTGCTGTTTTTCCTTTCAGATGTTGAATGAGGAGTTGGCACAATATGGGGGAAATATGATCCTTGTCAGACAAGAGCCTCTCAAGACAGTTGCTGATCTACAGAAACAGTGGGTAGACCTAGGGATTTCGGTGCTTGGCCGTCACAAAGATCTCCATGGCAAAATGCCACCTTGGTTGAAAATGCTGGAGGAGATAAACAGAAACTCTAACAATCTCTGTGAACAGTATCGCATAAGAATTTGTGGGGAGAATGGTGAGAAATGTTTGGGCTTGCCCTAAAAGGTTTCATAGAGCTATTTCTCATAAAGTGAAACTTTCTGTTATGTATTATTAGTCCAGTCTCAAGTATCCAGAATACTTTGGAAGCATGTTCCTGTGTATACTTTCAAGCAGTAAAGCCTTATGCAGACTTACGTCACTTATGACATCAAAGAGAATTTTTTCTCTAAATTAGGCATGCTAAAAGAGCACATCTGACCAACATGAAATAAAGAGAAGTTGGAAGCAACGTAATGAAGAACTGAACAGAAGACAAAGAAGAAGAGTCCTGTGGTGAAGAACCTGATGTTTTAGAAAACTATGTGAAAGCTGCTCTTAAAGCACTTGGAAGAAATAAATCACCAGCAATACATGGTGTACTAATATAACTATTCCAGGCTACAGAGACTGAATCTGTCAAAATCCTAAGGTACTAGCTATCACATTGCAAATATATGTTGGCTTCTGTAGCCAGGTGATCATGCTGTGCTTTGTAGACTGCAGCAACACCTTTCACTATGTGAGTCGTAAAAAGCTATGGATCACTTTATGGCAAATGGGTGGGGCTCAATATTTGATTTTCCTGGTGTGTAACCTGTACTCCAAACAATGTGTTGGAACATATTATGGAAAAACAGAATGATTTCCAATAGGCAAAGGTGCCAGACAATCATTTGTTTTATCTCCCTCTCTTCTGTATGTGCGCAGAATATATCATATGGAAGGCTTTACTAGATCCAGATGAAGAAGAAGTGAAAATGGATTAAAAAACATCAATAATGATATATGTTGTCCATTCTGCAATCAGTAGCAGAAAGCGCAATGACTTGAAATGACTATTGATGAAAATGAAATAAAAATTGCAAAAGCAGGACTGTAGTATTAAGAAGACAAAAGAAATGTTTACAGAAGAACTATATAATGTCAATACTGACATTGAAGGAATTGAAAATGTTAAAGATTTTCTATAGTTTGGTTAAATCATAAATCCAAATGGAAACTGCAGTCAGGATTTGGAAAAGCTAAAATTTAGTGAACATCAGGAATAGTGAAAGTCAAGAACAACAGGGAATGTTGGGAATAACAGTAGTTGCTAGATAGGAACCCTGTCGTAATACTTTGCCTTAGGCATTAAGCAGCTTATTGAAGTGGCACAAATCTGATCACTGGTTGTCAACAGAAGAAGTAACCAAGTATTTGATTAGTCAACTGCTCCATAAGTTCCATTAATTCAAATGTGCTTGTTCTGGTTGCAACTTAATTTAACATAGTAAATGATTCAACAGGACTAATCTAGTGTAATTTCTTACACTAAGCAACAGGATTTCAGGTACTCAAACTGAAATATCTTAGTTGACTACTGCTAGAGATATAATACGTTCAATCCTGTCTTCACACGATGCTTGCTTAAAAAAACCACACCCTTTTCTGTTTGATATTTGTTTCCAGGGTCTGCCAGGATTTTAACAAGTTTGGTCCACAGTTTGGAGAATTGGACATTCAAGCTGTTAGCTAGCAAGCAGAAGTCTGGTGCACATGAAGCTGACTGGATAAAGTTTTTCCAAAATGTTTCTGAATGGCTGGCTCAGATAGACGATCTGTTAAAGTTTATTGGTACCAGTGAAACTCCAGAGGAACGAAGGCGCAGAACATTTAAGATTGTCCCGTAAGATGAAATTGCTCTCTGAACTGTATCTTCCTCTCTTAACCACTTTATTTTATCTGGATGAATCTTTTCTTTTGCTACAAACTTTCAGGTGATGGAATCCTTCTCTTTTAAATCATCAGCTGACACCTGATGCAGAACTATCAAGGCATCAAATAACTGCTAAGAAATAGTTTTTAATACTATGCAGAACTCCAGTTATATTGGCCTAATCCATTGTTGCCACCTGCCCAAACTAAAAATCAGGCAAAGGGTCTTTGACCACCTTTTTCTACTGGGAAGAGGAAGAGAGATTGGCAGAGTTCTCCCTTTTGTGCTGCTACTCTCTGTAGCGATCACCCTGCTTTGGCTCATGTTGGAGGATTATTGCATGCACCAATGGGAGCTGTTGGGAGGTTAAGCCAGATAAACTAGAAGGGAGGGGTGAGGCAGAGAGGAGGAGCTTAGTTAGTGAGTTACAGTCAGAGATGAGAGTCTGAAATGAAAAGTTAGTCTGTGGGAGTTAGAGAGAGTTGTAGAGCAAGGAGTTAAGGTAGGCAGTTAAGAATGTGGAATTTATAGAGAGTTAAAGAGTGAAACAAGTTATTACTAATCTACCGAAAACTTTAAATTCTTTGAAGAACCTGTTTAAGTGAACTGTATCCAATAAACCTGTTTTTGTTAAACTTTACGCTCAGCATGGACCTCAGTCTTTCTAACTGAACATTGTTGACAGAGATCAACTGGTGGCAGCGTTAAAGGAGAGAATGTGTCGTGGGCTTCAGGCTAGTGAAATAATCTGGGCACACGCAAGGGGCATGTCACACTCTCTTAGGGCTCATCCATATTGGATGAGTTGTCCTGGGGTTACTCTGACTCCTTCTGGTATTTTTTGCTGCACATTTGAATAGATCTATCCAGTATTTCCATTTGCATGTGGTGAGGGTATTTATTCCTGGCTGGGATCAGTGGATCCTCGTAGTACTGCCTGTTCGCACAGATCCAGATCCACTCCGTTAGCTCTCATTCCCAATGCAGATTGCCATTCCTTTTGCCTGTCTTCTCCCCAGTTTCTTCACTTTCTTTTCTCTTAAAAATAATAAAGTAAGAGAATACAGGAAAAGCTGATATTTTATTTTACCTTTCTCCACCTATTTCAGTCTCCTTTCATTTCTCTCCTTATTTGACCTTCCCATAGCATTCAAAACTTCATCTTGTCATCACAATGCTCTCTTATTTTTATTTTAAAATGTTTCACAATGGTGCAAAAAACACAACATGCATGTGTTTCAAAAATTAGCAGTTCGAACACCTGGTAGGCTAATTCCAATTACCCACAAGGTGGGAGAAAAAGAGAACACCCACTACAAAAGGACTTTTAATTATTCTGCAGAATAAAGCAATACACATGGGTTAATACTCAAACAATGTTCTTGGAGTTTACAGATGTGTGCTTACATTTATATACCCTACTATCACACATCACTGACTTTATCTGCATCTTGCAAGTACAGCTGACTTCTGGTGAAGCTAGCTTTAACCCTAGCAGACCTTTGCCCTATTTTTTTAAAAGTTTCATATTATAGGGTTAGGTTTAGGGATGGGGACAGGGGATATGGGATTAAACAGAGGCTGTAAATCAACATGAACATTTTACAATATTCATTCTTATCTATTACATTTCAAAGATACATAACTAATTTATAATAGATATTCTAATTCTAAATTGATCTTAGGCTTTCAGTTATCAAATGTTAATTTACAGTCTATTTCTAAGTCAATCATAAAATTTATACCAACAGTCTTCATGATCTGTCTTTCTTGTTGAGTCTAGCCATTCTGATAGTTTATCCATCTCTGCCATATCCAGGATTTTTGCTATCAACTCATATTGAGATGGATTCTCTGGGTCTTTCCAATGTTTAGCAAAAAGAATTCTTGCAACCGTCAAGATATGGATAACTAAATATTTTTTCATCAATCATAAAATTTATGCCAACAGTCTTCATGATCTGTCTTTCTTGTTGAGTCTAGCCATTCTGATAGTTTATCCATCTCTGCCATATCCAGGATTTTTGCTATCAACTCATATTGAGATGGATTCTCTGGGTCTTTCCAATGTTTAGCAAAAAGAATTCTTGCAACCGTCAAGATATGGATAACTAAATATTTTTTCCATTAAGTCTGTTGAATCTGGGATTATATTTAGAATAAAAAATTCAGGGGTTACAGTTATCAGAATCTCTATAACCTCATGCAAAAGCATTTCAACCCTTTCCCAATATTTTTGGGCTTTCCCACATGACCACCACATGTGATAAAAAGAACGTCCTTTTTGTTTACATCTCCAACAGAGATTTGAAATTTCAATGCATATTCTATGTAGTATTCTGGTGCTGTAAATGTGACTGCCAGAGGAGCCATTACATCTGTGTTTCCCAACTTTGAGTCCCCAAATACAATACAATACAATACAATTTTGGGCTTTCCCACATGACCATCACATACGCTAAAAAGAACCTTCTTTTTGTTTACATCTCCAACAGAGATTTGAAATTTTAACATCCATTTTGGATAATTTTGGGGGAGTTATATACCATCTATAAAACATTTGTATATGCTTTCTTTAAAAGCTACTGACTTAGTGAGTTTTATCTTGTTTTTCCATATTTGTTCTCACTGACCCAAACTTACCTTGTGCCCAATATTCTGTGCCCACCTTATCATACATTCTTTAACTACTTCCTCCTGGGTATCAAAATCTAATAAAAATTATATAATGCTTTAATATTCTTGTATTTGATATCCAGGAGAACTCACTCAAAAGGAGTATTGTCTACATAAAAACCTTGCTGCTTATCTTCACTATATCTTGAAATCAACTGAGAGTATGGCCACCAATCTATATCAAATCCCTGCATCATTAGTTCAGCTTTGTTTTTTAATGTCCCATCTGGTTTTAGTGCTTCTCTATACCTTAAGATTTTCTTGTCTTGTATTTGATATCCAGGAGAACTCACTCAAAAGGAGTATTGTCTACATAAAAACCTTGCTGCTTATCTTCACTATATCTTGAAATCAACTGAGAGTATGGCCACCAATCTATATCAAATCCCTGCATCATTAGTTCAGCTTTGTTTTTTAATGTCCCATCTGGTTTTAGTGCTTCTCTATACCTTAAGATTTTCTTGTTTTCTCTCAACATGGTATTTTGACATACATCTGTCTTTGAATTTTAGTCTAAGACCATAATAAAGATTTTCTCGAAAAATGGTTATTGAATTGTTTAAAATCATCCACTCTACTGTACCAAAGAAAGGCATGCCACCCCCATTTCAAATCATGACCTTCTAATTTTAACAGTCTTTGATTTTCCAATAAAATCCAATCTTTGATCCACTTTAATGAGGCAGCCCTATAGTATTACACCCCATTTGGAAGACCCATTCCTCCTCTCTGCATCCTGTCCTGAAGTGACTTTAATTTTATCCTTGGTTTCTTTCCTTGCCAAACAGACACAAGAACAACTTTCTGCTTAGCTTTTCTTCACTTTTAGCTTTTAAAATCACCTCAGATCTATCCTGACTTAGGCTTCTACTCCATTCACTACTGCTCTTAACCCTCAGAGCTTCAGATTTTGAGCTGGCCATTTGGTCTTGTAAATCCTGAAGTAAATGATTTCTCTTGAGTAGGTATTTTGCTTATCTTAGGATTCCCCAGATCTGGGTTTAGAAGTCCTGAAACTAAGTCTTCCACAAGACTCTTAACGCAGTGGTCCCCAACCTTGGGCCTACAGATGTTCTTAGACTACAGCTCCCAGAAGGCTTCACCACCTCTGCTGGCCAGGATTTCTGGGAGTTGAAGTCCAAGAACATCTGGAGGCCCAAGGTTGGGGACCACTGCTCTAACGGGTAACCACTTCTTACAACAGATCCTAACCCCTCCTACCTAGGAACACCTTCAAACTCAAGCCAATTCAATTTTTCACTGGATTCTTTCGTATCCCAGCACTGTGCCACCAATTTTTCATGTTCCCACCTGCCCCTTGGTTGTTTCACCAATCAAAGGGCACAAGCTACGTGTCATGTCGCTGCCAGCAGTTGATTACATTAGCATTGTTTGTTGATAAAGATAGAGGTCCAGGCAATGTGTCATTTTAAAAAGAACCAAACAGAAGTTGTTTATTATTACAGGTAATGAAGGTACATCCAATGTCTTTAACTCTTAACAAAATACTGTATCCTTCTTCATACACTTTCAACCGCCAACTCTCTCTCTACTCCAAACTCCCCAAACTCCCCAAATCATCCAGTCCTCCAATCTCTAACCTCCAATCTCCAAAAACACAAATCTAACTCTCTCCTCCCCCTGCAGAGACTCTTATATCTCGCAACTCCGCCTCTCCAGCACTCTCATTAGTCCACACAGACAGCAGATTAATATTCATGACCTGGACAGATGCCACACCGAAGTATTCGTGTACCTGAATGAAGTTTCAGAATATACTGCAGCACTTTCTGTCTGCCAGAGTGACAGGAGGGTTACATGTATCAAGGGCTCTCCAATACATATGACCTCAAAACAGAAAGTTAGCATAAGAGGCAAAGGGCTAAGTTAGAATTTCTCTAGATAACACTTGAGTGTTCTGCTTGCAGAGTGTATGTTTTCTGTGGTGAGGCATTCAAAAGTGGTAGCACTTGCTTTGTAGACTGACGTGGTTAAAAGAGCCCTTTATCTATGTCCTACCTAGTGAGAGAGAAAGCAGTGTAGGGGATTAAGAGTATTTTGGGATTGTTGGACCAGAACTAGAATGTTTTACTATTTTTTTTAAAGACCATACTAGCTATTACAGGAAGATTGGCACTGTTTTCCTTAATTTTCTGTTTTAACTGAGAAATTTGGCTAGAGCAGGGGCAGGCAGAGAGAAGTTTCCCAACTTAGTCACCTCTGTTCATTTTCCAGGTCAGTTTCACAGAGTTTGGGAGATTTCTTAAACATTCTTTAATTGTAATGTTAAAAGTAAAGAATCTATAAGATAGAACTTAGTTTGTTGACTGACTTGTTCCCCCTCTACTCCAGGGTGGCATCTGAGGATCTATTTAAGAAGATTCAGCAGTGGATCCTGACAACTACTAGTGGTTCTGAACAAGAAATTGTTCAACTTACTGAGGAAGTACGTGTGACGTTTTCACTCATACACTTAATGGGAGAGACATGCTTGTTTCTGATATAAAATTGGAAGCAAACATGAGGTTTGACACCTTTTCAGATGTTAGAGTAAGAATTACTTGTCACAAGAGAAGTTTCTTACCCTTAGTAGTGTTTCTCTGCAAACCATTGTACTGAATGAGTCTCATTAGTGGAAGCATCTCAGAGAATTGAGTGATTCAGATAGAGGGGCAATAAGTAGTTACCCAGGGCAAATGTACATTATGCCTTTTTTGTATATTGGAGCCAGATTGAAATACTCTGGCTCATATTCTGACACAGCCCTAAGGCAATATTGTCCAGAATTATTCCTTACTGGAAGCTGTTTCTGAGCTGATTAGCAAGGCTAGGGTGGAATTATGTTTGAAACAGCAGGAAGCTTCCTCTTTGGGTGGCTTCTCTGGGCACACAGTGTTCTTTAATTAGCATTTTTCATATTTACTGATATGTAGCAGCATGCACCCCATCATGCATTGCTGCCTTGTCGTGCCGAAGGGGCTTCAGTAATTCAGAGACGTTATGGGCTATGCTGTGCAGGGACACCTAAGACGGACAGGTCATAGTGGAGAGTTCGGACTAAACGCGATCCACCTGGAGCAGGAATCGGCAAGTCACTCCAGAATCTTTGCCAAGAAAACCCCATGAACAGGAACAAAAGGCTAAAAGATATGACACTGGAAGATGAGCCCCTCAGGTCGGAAGGCGTCCGACATGCTACTGAGGAAGAGTGGAGGACAAGTACGAGTAGATCCAGAACTAATGAAGTGGTTGGGCCAAAGCCAAAAGGATGCTCAGCTGTGGATGCGCCTGGAAGTGGAAGGAAAGTCCAATGCAGCAAAGAAAAATACTGCATAGGAACCTGGA